TCCACCTTTCTACAAACTTTCTTTTTTGTTTGTTTGTTTGTTTTCACGAAGGGCAAAAACAACTTTGAATTCCTACTAGACTGCAAAATGTTGCACATTAACACCCAGCTGTAAATGTCCAGTTAGATTCCTATATTGTGCTAAGGTGTTTATCTTAAAATTAACAAGATGAAAGAGTACTATATTGTATTTCAGGGCTGTAATTTCTGCCATCACAATGTCTAAATAAGCTGGTTTCCTTTTGAAACAAGAAACGATTGGAATCAGTTTGGTGCTAGGACTATTTCCATGGCGTCCAAAAGTTCTTTTTTTAACAATAAATCATGAAAAAAATGGTGTTACTGTGGATACCAGAAAGCAACAACAGCACAGTATTCATGTAACTTTCCCCTGTAAAAACAGGTGCCCCAAAAAAAACACTCCCTGCCACGCCCCCCACTCTAAAATTGCAGTCTCAATTGGGGTGTGGTTTATCTTTAAGAACACTTTGAGCAGAAGCTGTAAATTTCCTTGAATTGTGGGAAACATTTTACTAGAGAAAGCAATACTGATGATTTTCATGTTCATAGACATGCCCTTTTTCACGAAAGTTTGGGGCTTAAATTTTTTGGCGGATATCCAGTCATCTTGACAACCAATCTTGATCAGGAAAGAGCATTATCATATGGTATTTTTTGTCCTTCTCTGACAGGCACTTGCAAAGCAGTTTGCAGAAATTCTCGACTTTACACTTACATTTGATGACTTAAAGGTAATTTTAGGCATTACTGTTCCTCCTTGATGTAGGTTGTTAAGGGAAAGGAACTGGGAATTCATGTATTCATGGCATTACATGTATAAAATTCTGAAAATTAATCACCACCCCGCAGACAAGTATAAGGAATTTCAACCATAATGCTATTTACTGTATAGAGATTTATGGTGTCATCCACTTTTTGAACATTTGGGCCATGGCTGTTAGAACTGATCTTGTCAGCTTAAAGCAACATTATATTAGTTCCATGAGCAGACGAGCAGTGCAGTCATCATGCCCATGTGGAATTCGTGTGAAACATTGGCTCTTCTAATGGTTTATTTTCATTAACATTTCAGATGACAAATCCAGCAATTCAAAATGATTTTAGTTACTACAGGAGAACACTAAGCAGAAGAAAAATGGCCAATGCAGTAAGATGCTTACACTTTTATTGTTGTTGTTGCTTACTTTTATTATTGTGGCTGGGTCAAATACCCCAAAAATTACAAAAGTAAAACCCCTTCATTTTAAACCACCTAAATCCTGAAACAGCATAGGGCATGGTTACTTTTTGAAGCAACACATGAATATTTTAAAAAACTGCTAGTTTCTGATCTCTGTTTGAGACTTTAAGAATTCATCATATATAATTAGGAAATTGAGTAATTTTAATTTTCAGGGATAGAAACCTTGTACCAGATTATTTAAGCCATATCGCATTCTTGTTCTACACTTTACAAGGGCTATATAGATGTAATTATTAGTCATCTGTATAACACCAAAGACAATTTCTTATGATAGCCCGAAAAAATAAATTTCATAATTCAGTTCACAGGAATTGAGAAAACACCAGTAAAATCGTCAAGCATAAGATTTCATTTTGTGAAATTTGAGGCTTTCGAAGTCCTTTTTTTTTTTTGAGCTCCTATAAGAAACTTTTCTTTGGAGTTATTTCATACAACTTATTACATTAAGGGATATACAGTAAATTCTACTGTATATCCCTTGAAAAGTGTGAAAAAGAATGCAATATGCTTGAAATTATTCTAGTACAAGGTTTTGTCCAGTGAAAATTGAAATTACTCAATTTCCTATTGGATTTCATCTTACACCTGTAATTTCTTTTGTTCACTTTTTGCTGTGGGCTGGGGAGGGGGTGTTGGCTGCGGGAGAATGAGTAGTTTGCCAAGTTTTCTTTTTTTTTGCTGTTTCTTAAAGTCTATGAATTAATTTATTACCAACATTCACTGTGTTTTACAGGATGATGACAATGAAGGAATTCAGGTTTCAAATGAAATGGCCAACAGGATGTCCCTATTTTATGCTTATCCCACTCCTATCTTAAAAATCCTCAGTGATGCCACATCAAAGTTTGTCACAGAGGTATGAAGTGCTCATTATAAGTTTCTTAAGTACAAATTCTCCAAACTGATCTCTATACATTTTCTTAAAGAGTAAGTTGAGAGAATTTGATGAAAGACCAAAGCATTTTCTCTTGGGTGATCAATTTATTAATTCTCATAACCAAATCTCTTGACAATCAATGGATATGGTTAGGAGAAAATTGATGTTGGACACCATTGGGACTTGAAGGGTTAAAGTACACATGGGCAACGGACTGTTTACAGTTTAGGCGCATATCCACACCCGTTTCAACTAGAAATCAGTCAGATTTTTCATAATAAACATTTTTCCAAAGTTCAAATCTGGAAAAATGGTTTGGACAGAATTTGTCCAAACCATTTGATGTTCTTTTTCTTTTTTGTAGCTTTTCTTCCAACTTCCAGGCATTAGAAATAATAATATTAATAATCTGCTTCGTCCAAGGAGAATGGAACTGGCCAATATCCTGTCTCAGTGACTCAGAAACCCAGGAACAGGAAAGGGGACTTTAGGGAGTTAAAATCTAAAAACTTTCTTAGGGAAGCATTGTCTGATGATCTTTTGAAACTTATCAGTTGTACGCTCTTTAACAATTTTCTTTTTGTTTTTCCCTTTTTCAGAACAAATCTATTCCCATAGAAAATACAACAAATTTCCTTAGTGTGTTAGCAAATCTATGCAGAACAATGCTAGAAGATCCGTGAGTACTTTATGTTCATTGCTCTACTAATTGACAATAAATTTAAATTCAACATAGGGTGTTGTGTTGTGTTAAAATGTGCAAAACCTTGAAGCCATGAATTGTAACTTAAATGTCTTTGTTTGTATTTTGCTTAACACCCATTAAGTCGTGAGTGGCTGTCACGAATGGTTTTGCATTTCCTTTGTGCACCACAGCCTAAACAGCAATACACAATGTTCACCATGAGTGTACTATTAAATTCTCTGCCAATATCAATTCAAGTCGTAGGCTTCTTATAATTGTTTTTTTTTTTGCGGCATAATCACAAAATCTTGTTTTTCTCTTGTAGGGAGTTTCCCTCGAAAATCGCAAACAAAGAAACATATCTTTTTTGTCTTCGTGTAATGGTGAGTTGCTCCTATAATACAATACTTTTCAAGAACATAATGTTCAAGCTCCTGTTTAGTGATTCTGGGTTTTAACCCTTCACCTTGCTTTGAGGAGATTCAGTAAGGTGATTTTAACAAAGGAACACAACTACAGCTGAATGAAAAAAACGTGGTAAATCTTCAAGTGGCAGTCAAGTCAGTTCAAACTGCCTTACCGAGGGTTAGTTGGAGTTTTGGTGGCCAAGCGGCCAACGTTTTGAACTTTGGATCCGCAGATCCAATTTCAAGCCTCGCCAACAGTTTGTTTCCTTAAAAAGAAACATTGCTCCACTTAATCTCTCTTCACCAATGCGGTCCCCCTGACATCAAGGACTAAGCCACCCAAAGGTCAAAATGCGCCATTTTCCCAGCCTTGCTTGGGAGGGGAGGGGACAGGGGGTCGCTAAATTTTCCATTTGTTTTGTCCAAGATTGCAGTCTTGGACAGATTAAAATGGAACAGCAAACCCCTCATCCCCCCAAACTATCAAGGATGAAACCACCCGAAGTCCAAAACGCGCCATTTTCCCATCATTGATTTCTTTGTTGTTGTTGTTGTTGTTGTTGTTTGGTGGGGGTGGGGGTGGGGAGTGGTTTCCGTTTCCGTTTACCTTCTCCAAGATTGTAGCCTGCCTAGCAGTAGCGGTTTGTCGAGGCGAGTTCATCAGCTTTCGTGAAATAACTCGATCGGAAACGCGCGCTAGGCAAGCTGTAATGAATCTCGTTTAAAAATACTAGTTTGTGGAAATGTGTAATTGAAATGAAATGTATTTTTTCCAGGTTGGTCTTATAATTCTTTATGATCATGTACATCCCATAGGAGCATTCGCTAAAAACTCAACTATAGATGTAAGTTTATTATTTAAATCTACTTCTAATAATTTTTATTATTCATTCAAAATATTTCTCCGTTTCTGATTAGCGAAAATCCCACTCATTCCTCATAACAAGCTACTGTCGACCAAATTTGGAAGAATTTTGCGATTTGTCAAAAATGACGTCAATTGTGCAGCAAAATTGATAGATCATTGAACCGCTAACCGAGAAGACCTGAGGACGAGGTTGAATTGTTTTGGCAGTGAGTACAAAATGACGGAACATTTCACTCGTTTCACAAGGAAGAAATGGGCGAACTATTGGCTAGAAATATAGTAAGAACAGCAAGAAGATAACTTGACGGACACCATCTGCTATTTGGAGAATATTTGCAGTACTGAGCAACCCTTTATCTCCTAAACTTGCCGATAAACAAGTAACTGAAGATGAACTTAAAATCGATAGAGGTTTGCATGTATTAGCTTGTTTTTAAACTAGGAATTATTTTGAATGGTCAATAAAACAACTATTGAATTCGGCTTTCGTATAATCTGAAGAATTATGGAGATCTCAGAGGGTGTTCAGTATCCGCCTAGGCCTACTCCATAATTTTTCAGATGATACTCAGCAGCCTCATCCAATTTGTTAATTATCCATCCACATGAAACCTCTTTGGTGGTCGGACTTTCGCGCGGCACCATTTCGTTTGACATTCTCTGTTTAACTGAGATTTGGTTTTTTTCTTTAATCAGTGTCTGAAAGGGCTTAAAAAGAGTTTCTTTAAGTCCGTTTTTGTTGGGTTGTCTCGTGAATTCGCCATATAAAAAGTCGACTTTTGTGCCAGTCTAGGGCTTGAATAATATGTAGTCCCAGAAAATATCCATACCGCCCACCCCTTCCCTTACGGACGGCGATGGAAATTCCTAGGGAAGCGGGGTCCAACAGGACGCAATTTCCGAAGGGGTGGGGAGTGGCTTCTCGAGGTCTTTTTTCCGAGGCTGGTGAGTTATCAAAAAATAACAGCCTCTCTGTTGAGCAAGCTAGGAGTTGTACTGTTAACGGTCTTAAAATAAGAATTATTGTTTTGATTGATGATATTTTATTAACGGTCGGCTGAAGTTTGTTTTTCACGGCTTATGCGACAGATAGTTGTCCTTGGGGTCTAAATCAAAAGTCCCCTCTGAAGGGGGGGGCGGGGGTGGGGGTATGGATATTTTCCGGGAATACACGATTACAAGGACTCTCAATATTAATGAACACTCATGGTAAACAATTTTAAACTGTTTACTATGAACCCTGCATTAGTTTGAGTTGATAGATATTGTGGGCTTAAGTTTCGAAAGCAATTGGTCACACGTATTTTCATCTGCTTTTCTAACCAACAAGAAGCAATTATTTTCCTGGGCTTTCACTTGGGGCAGGCCAGGGGCTGGGGATTACCCCTGGCTACTATAAAGAGCATGATCTCCGGCTACTTTCGCAGGAAAAAAATGAAAATAGGACAAAAAAGAACATCTTAGCTTTTCAATTACCTGTCTACTAATAGGCCATTTCCGAGTTCCCCCGGGCCTCTGTTTCAAAACGAGGGTAGGTGCTCAGCCTTTGATATGGAAATCATTTTTCATTCTCATGCAAATAAAACTCATTTTCACAAGAAAGGTTGTGCAACTAGCCCCTTTTTGAAAGTGAGGGTTTTTGGAACTCGGAAGTGTCCTACTGCATGTACCTGGCATTTTGAAATCTTTCTGGAAACCCTTATTGTTTTTTCATAAAGAAAAAGCTTTCAAGATAATTATATGGGACCATAACGTCTTGATTTCAGATATACGTTGTGCTTTATTTAATTTTTTTTTATCGTATGTAACTTGTTAATGATGTCTGGTTTTGGTATTACAGATAAAAGCAACAATAAAAGTGTTAAAAGATCAACAACAAGGTTCGGTAGATGGTCTCCTTAATGCTTTACGGTAAGAATGCTTAGATCATACTTCTAAACACTTCTGTAAGATTGCTATGGTAAGGACACACAATTATCAAAAAAGGAAGAAGACAGAGACCATTCCTTTCATAATGTTATAGACCAAACTAGTCCTAGGTTAACCTGAATTTCATCCGATTACTTCGAGTCGTTATTACTGGAGAAAACGACTCGAAGCAATTGGATGAATTTCAGGCTAGTCCTAGGTGTTATGTTCTTTAAATTTATCCAGGATACCCTGGGTACCAGAGATTTTTTTTCGCGTGTGGCAGGAATCTTCGGTGAATCTTCGGGAATCTTCGGTGCCGGCGAAAGGCTGCCTTATCTTCGGCCGTAGACCGAGGCCACGAGCATGACAAAGTCCGAAAACCGCGCAGGAAAAATCTCTGGCACCCAGTGGCCTGACGAAAATCTGTACCAAGGAATGTAAATTAAGCTTTTTATTGTGGCGCCGCCCAAATAGAGTAATCGAGTTCGCTTGTCGTTTGATTCAAACTCAAAAGAGTACGAACCCTAAAAGAAAAACGTGTACTAGCAAATCACAATGTTTTATTGGTGTTTGTTATACACCTGTCTAGTTTATTAAAAAAAGGCCCGGACTTATTTTAACCAATCACAAAACTGGTGATAGCAATGCAAACCAAAACAGTCACGAAATTACTTCGACACTCTTATGAGAAATACCTTTATCGTTCTCTGTGGCTCCTTTGGGATGATCCGGATTAGGATTGGCCGTTTTTACACTATAGGACCATTATTCGTCCAGACGGATAACGCATCTGTGGCTGTTTTTATACTACAGTCGTATTATCTGTCTGGGCGAACTTGGGCAAACATTTGAAGTAAGACGTCTTGAACGACGCACTACGAAAGGTACTGAGTTCGTCTGGACGCATAATGCGTCTTGTGCCCGTCCTTATACTTGAGACTCGTAACCAGACGAACTACAAAGTGTTTGCCCAAGTTACCGCGGCAGCCTTAGCTCAGTCGGTAGAACGCTTGACTGCAGAGCGGGAGGTAGCGGGTTCGATTCCCAGGACCGGACCAATACTCAGGGTCTTAAAAATAACCGAGAATTGAAGGTACTGCCTTAACGGCTGGACCTTCGCGTGGCTCGGTTGACCACGTAAAATGGCGGTCCCGTCACCGGTAGGAGACGTAAAAAATAGTGTCCCCAAGTAGTGCTTTCGTGCTAAATACGTTGACACTCAAATAAAGTGCCTTTTTTTTTTCGTCTTGACGGATGGTGCGTCCTTGGTATAAAAACGGCCATTCATGATCCAAGATCACTCGGATCATGGTGCATCAATTCGACACTTTAGAAACGAGAAGGGCGCTTTCCATTCAACAAAAATTCCGGTTTGAAATTTCTGAAAACCCACTTGCCCCAATGGAACGATACATGCCGGTTTCACAGACCTGACCCAAGCCACCACATGTTACTGTTTGGTTATTGCTCTTGTAAGCAGGACGCAAAAGAGCAGTACTGGGCCAACAGTGTTTTCAAATGAAAAGGGACATTTTGGTCCGACCGACAGAAATGACCGGACCGGTCAAACTGCACCATCTTCAAAGGTTGTCCCAAGTATTCCGGTCGGACCGAACGGATGGTCCGTTCCATTTGATTTGTAACCGAAATTTCCGGAATTTTGGGCTGAATGGAAAGTGCCCGTTGTTTCAGCTTTTTGTTTAGCATTCGTAATTAGATCATCTAATCAAGGCCCCCTTTCTTTCTGGTTCTAGGTATAGTACGAAGCACTTAAACGATGATACTACGCCAAAGAACATCAAAGCCCTTCTTGTTTGAGAGATCGTCCGTTGAAATTATCATGAAGGCTCTGGGTGATGGCCGTGCTGCTAAAAATAACGCTGAACGTTGCAGGCAGAATGTATCCAGGGTTGATATATAAAACTTCTAACACTCTATCTACTTAAACGCAACTTAAACATTAATTAATTTCTTTCCACTGGGAACCAAGATCAAAACTTCCTCCATCAACACGTGTATTGTCTTATATTGGGGTCGCCTTTCGCTGTTATCTGGTGTTTTTTTGTATAAATAACGAAACTACGTGGCCGCTTTTTTTTGCGAGCAAACTCTTTAAGATTGCAGAAAAAGCCAAGATCAGGCCATTGCTGACATTGTACAATGCGGGACTGAGAGTTGTCGGGCGGGCGGGCGAGCGACGGGTGAGCAAGTCGAGTGAGAATAATTGAGTTAAACTAGTGTGAGCCAAGAGGAAATTGGGAAAAAACGCGTTTGTTTGGTCAACGTTGGGCACGGTACATCGTTTAAGGCCTTTTTTCTTTTTATTTACTAGAATTTAAGTTACTTCTTTCGTTGGAATCGTAGGCAACAAAGTATAAGTGTAACTATATTTCCATTGTGATTAACAAATCGACCACAATTTTCCATGGTCTACGGTCTTATAGAATGACGTCATAAAATGTTCAAACCTCAAGTGGAACCACAAGCCGCAGGCGAGTGGTTTCACTGCAAAGTTTTGAACATTTTGTGATGTCATTTCTATGGTCTAATAGAGTGTAGACCATGGAAAATTATGGTCGATTTGTTTTTCACAATAACATTTATTTTTTTTACGAAAAACCAAAAACAAAACAACCCGCACTGCATGACATGTTACGTCATTTCCATGGTCTATACTCTCATAGATCATAGCTCTCGACCAATCAGCGCGCGAGGCTTCGCTCAGTTAATGTAAAACAAAATATTGAGCATTTTCGTTGAAGATTCAAAAGAGAGCAAAATTCTTGTTGATGTTGACAAATAGCGCGGACAAGTTTGCAGTTTCCAAACACAAAAACCTTTTTCAGTAAACCAACAGATCCAACTTTAAAACTGAAAATGACAATATTGGTTTTAAGTACTTTTCTTATCCTTTGTAAATTTCCCTCGGAATCAAAGTCTCGCCGACGCTAGCCGTACAACTCGTCCACTCGACAAACTGAAAAGGGATTGTTAGCATTTTCTTTGATAACATTTTTTTATTCACTACTCTGGTAACAGTGATATTTAAAACTGGAAAAATCATCGCAAGTTTAAAGAATTTAGCCCACTTGTTTCGTTGTTTATATCTCATAGTTATGTAAAATATTCTCTACGCTTTGATCAAGAAAAAGACACACTTCACTGTAGCATGAATCTGGGCTTTTCTTGACATAAAAGGGCCATGCTTTTTTGTCTAATTTTGTGAGATCCAGGTTCCCAAAACCGCGATCAGTTACTTCAAAAAGGGCGGACCCGATTTTGTAAAACGAAGCCAAGTGAACAGGAATTATTGGACTAAGAGAACTTCAATTGTTTTCATGGTAAAGAGACACGTAAAAAATCACTTTCCGCGAGGAGTCATAGCTCTAGTTTGTGTTGCCCCATTTTTTCGCGCGTCTTTTATTTCAGTCAAGCTCTTTCCTTATTAGGGAGTTGAGCAAGCGTTTTTGAGCCAGTCACGTCAACCGGAAGTGATGTCTTTTCCCTTTTAACCCTTTAAGCCCCAAGATCCACATGCAAATTCTCCAGACTGATATCCATACATTTCTTTTGAGAAAAGTTGTGAGATCAAAGTGTTCTCTCTTTGGTAATCAATTAAGTAATTCTCATAACCTTTAATTTTGATGATCTGCTGATGTTGTTGGGAGAAAATTGATGTTGGTCACTCTTGGCACCTAAAGGGTTAATAAACGTTGACGCTTTCAAATTTTCAAAAGTGCTCGAAAATTGGGGTTAACTCCTTGTCCAAAAATGCAATAAGAGCACCTCCGCTTGAAGAGCGTCGTTCAAAAACGTCTTTGCATAGGCTTAACTCTGCTGGAAAAAAGAAAGTGAGAAGCCACTCGTAGATTAAGATACCCTAACTCCAGAGATGCGTTCTCGAAATACCTAGGGTGAAAAAACCTGTGCGCACGGCAGGAATGGGGAAAGAAAAAAAACCTCGGCACCTTGGGTAAGACTAAGGGCGCTAAGAGACCATGAACGGTTGTCGATAACTTTTAGTCAAAATTCTCCTTGTTTGAGCTATCGTTGTTTTCTGATGGTTCGCTGGTTATTCTGCACACACACACACTGTTTCCATTACGAACTCATTCGGTTAGCCCCAAGTTTCAAGCATTATTTTTTCCTTCAGCTGAAAACTTTTTTGAAAATTGTAAATGAAAAGTTAATGCGGAGACTTGCTATAATTATTTACGCACAGCTCGCATATCGCCTAGGGAGCTCTGCTTTCAAGGATCGAGTCAGATTGGTTGCTTTTCTTCTGAGTGAACTGTGAGAGTTGGGTATCCTGTTCTTCCAGGAACCCCCTATTAACACAGAAATCGCTCACTTGTGACTTCAGTCCCATGCACACCACTGACATAAAACTTGGAAGGCTAAACTATTTGTGGCTCGTGTTTACTACAGTGGAACTTTTTTCTGTCTTGTCAGTCATCGGTCAATAATGTTAAACATTAGAGACCTTAAGATTCTAAGACGAGGACGACCTCTAGAACGAGTTTTCCTCAGCGCGTGCACGTGAACGCACGTCATGGCGGGAAAGCGTGATAGCCGTGGTCGTTCTACTACGAGTTTTAGCTGGAAGTTCTATGACTTTGCGATCGGGAGAGGGCTTAACTTCCTTCAATAAAAATAGCCCTAATAACTCTTCCCGCGAAAAAAGTACAATGAGCTTTCCGGGGGGTATACTTTTTAGAATACGCGAACAAATCTTTGTAAGTGAAATTTCGTCCTCGAAGCCTAAGGTCTTTATTGTATAGGAAAACACGTTTTAGCTCTTCTGTGAGTGGTGAGAAGGTGTACGTTTGAAGCTGAAATCTTACTAAATTAGTTGAATTAACCCTCCTTTCTTTAAGGCCACTTGCATTTTAGTAAATTCACATTAAAATACACAATAATTAAAAGTTATCCATGAGTTCAGTGCGGCCGTTTTTGTACAGAATTGCATTTTCATCATTGTAGATCCCAGATATCTTACATTTAGGTAATTAATCTAGGAAGACCTCTTTGAATAATATTTAGAGTATGAATAAGTAGGCTTTTAAATTGTTTTACAACTGAATTTTTGTATGAAATGCGAGTATATTTTGTTCAACATTTCCTCTGTCAAATAAGTGTACCTTTAATTTTGTATTCCTAGAAATATGAAATTGTAGCTTAGATTACATGTAGTCAGTCGCCTCCTGTAGAACTGTGTGAACTGAAATGAAAAAGGTTGTTTACTTCTGATTGTTCACTTTACTTTCGTTTAGAAATTTATCCGCCAGTATCAAAATGCATGTTAGAAATACTGAGCCCCAATCAAAGCCCCATTTCCTTCGCCTTCTCTTGAACCGTTGTCCGCGCGAATCTGGGAAGGGGTTAGCCTGCGAAAACAGCCATTTGTCCTCGCGTGATGAACGAGGAGAAAAGTCTGTTTTCGCAGGCTAGGAAAGGGTAATGGCCTATTGGCAGTAAATATTATTGGCAGTATTAAGTGTCAGTTGTCTCCTGAAAGCATTTTGACTTTTCTTATTTGCCCAAGTGTACAAAATCTTTTTTCTACATTTTAGAAAATAAGAACTTGTTTCAAAGTTTAGACTAATCAGTTTCTTTTATAAAGGGGGCCTAACTGGCAAATTTTCGCCCAACATGTTCTTAAAAACGGTGTTCTTACTCGCAGGCTTTTACTGCATTCGCAGACCTTGAATCGGGGCGATAATACAATTGCAACAAGACGCCGATTAGGACATGAATATTTAAAGAATATATTGCCTAATAAGTCCATTCATTGTTTTCTGATTGTGTATAAACACGTTCCGCTTTAACCTGCGTTTTTCGAATTTGCGGTGATCGCAGATCATCGATCAAAGTCCCTAAATCTGTAGCCGGTTTTCCAAACACTATTGCGAAATTTTAATTTGGCAACGTCACATCCACGAAAGCATCGCGCGGTTTCATAGCCCCAGGGCCGTGCACATAGTAGCTCATAGTAACATAGGTCTCCTGAACGCCACCAAAGAGGAAGGTTTCATCAGGCAAAAACGAGAAAATTCCGCGTTTGTCACTGATGTTTTCTCACAGTGGAACCCCGCTCTACGGCCACCCGTATATAACAGACAGTTTCTTTGTCCCCCGTGGGGAGGGGGACTCTGCATATGAAAAGGGTGGGGATGCTCGTTGGAAATTTTGAATTAAATCCCTAAAGGAGACCGATCTGGGCGTGTTTCAAGCTTTTTGTGACCCCTAAAAGAGACCATGTTAAAACATAGACAAATGAGAAGACTTGGATTATATGAATGGAGTAAATAAAACGAATTAAAAATATACATATCAAATATATATTTTTATATTTTTCCGCGTGCAACGCTAAACGAGTCCTTCACGGCTAAATATGATGGCGTTTTGCCCAGAACACCCTAAATGAGACCAAAATCCGAAATTTACACCCCTAAGCGAGACGACGAGCATCCCCATCACTTTCATATGCGGAGTCCCCCCTCCCTAGGGCGTTGTCCCAACGAAAAGCTGATATATTTTCTCTAAAACTGACCCGCTTACTGATACGGACTCCTGGTTAAGATGGACAACGGACATTTTTCACATATTCTCATATACTCGCTTTACAGACACCAGAAAAACCTAGCAGAAACAGCGAATGATCTTTGAACCGTTCTGTCTAATGTTTAGTCCACCTGAGTGAGTCGCAAACTAAAAGCGTCAGCACAAAGTAGTCATGGATTCCTTTGTCGTATTTCAAGACCAAAATTCTTGAGAGGTAGTTTTTGTCTAGATGACACTATGATAAATTATCTCGATACAAAGATAAAGAAATGAAACAAAATTTTTCCTTGTGAAGGTGTCTTCTTTGACGAATGAGGTGGACTAGCTTCCCTATGACACCTATCGAGTTCCCGCGCGTCCGATTTCCCGCCTTATTTGTTGGGAGCGTATCGTAAATTATCGATAAAGCCTTTGCCGAATTTTTTTTTTAAATAAGAGCTGCGGTGCTTATTTGGGCCTTTAGGAATTAACGCCCCACTTTTGTTAAGGCGTTTGATATAAAAAAATATTAATTTAAACCATAAGACCTCGACCAACTCGTGAGTTCTAATGTTTTAATGTAGGGAAACTCTTCAAACCGGGTTCGATAACAGTTCGAGGTACATATTTTATACTGAATTGTAGATACCTACTAGTACGCGCCTCACTTAATTCTCTCTACATTACCCTCAGCGTTTTACCCTTAGTTGAAATAAGCGTCGCTCTCGGATAAGCACGCACCTATGACAGGAAAAAATGAAATAATCGCCGGGGCGCTTAATCGATCATTTACGGTAAGCAACGTCAACGACAGCAAACAGAAAGGCAAAAAGCAATAGGTTTAAAGTAGCTTTGCATGTGACACACTTTTTTGTACATTTCTCCACCGTCGTTTCACGGGGCGATGTGAAGCCATCGTCGTCTATGCTAAGCCGCTCCCATTAATTTTCCTCCATCGTTTTCACTTTTGAACTGCTGCCGCGCGCGCAGGTTACATTTCTGTCACACCATCACGGAAGGTGGTGACCTTGAAATCACCCTTGAACGGTATAGAAGCCCTGAATTTTGATATTTCTATCGAGGTATGATGATGGACACGTGCGTTGTCTCGCTATTTTCATGTGTCGTGTACGCCAGTCTCCGTAATTTTCGGATCAACACGCAGCTTCTTATAATCGTTATTCCACCGGTGTCAGCTTTATCATGCACAGGAAGAAAGAGAGAGAAGGAGGAGGAGGAGAAGTATCGAAAGAGGACCAAATCTACAGTTAGCGTGGTCTACGACCGCACTCGATAGCAACACACTTCGTTGAGGTACAGCTATATTTTTTATTAACCTTGTGAATCTGTTAATGACATTAGTTTCCTAGATTTAAACTTTTTGCAATTAATTCAAACCACCTATTTTTAAGTTCGTTTCTAAAAAAAAGTTTTCTCAGTAGTCCGAAGTCGATAGATTCAAAATCAAACGATTGACCTTTTTTGAACAGGATCAATTCGAATTCTCGAATAACAATTCTTGATTACGATTTTCTTCAACTCAGCTAGAGAACAGATGTATGGACAATTATTCAAAAACTACTGATAATCTCCTCTCGTCTCAGTTATTTTAAAGCACTTGGCTTGAAAGTGATTGCGATAAACACTTTTAATCACGTAATTGTTGCAGTTCCGAATGTGTACTCCAAGAAGCGGTCTAATAAGCTATCATTCAATAAAAATATCATTAGCAAAAGTGTATGATTGCATCATTAAAATTAGCATGAAAAAGACCTCAAGTGGGCCTTTTGCGTTCTCCCTTAACCTGTTTAGACTGTTTAACGGCCAATAAATGAAGAAACTTGTGTGCAGAAAATCGCCTAGTTTATACACATCAAAAGATAGTTCAAAAGAGTCTTTTAGCTACTATTTTTTTCCGGATACTAGACTCAAGAAATGGACACGTACGTTGTGACAGCGTCACTGATGTGTAACCGCAATGTATCTACACGTATGAATGAGTGAATGAACCTTAATAATTTTGAGTGTCTGAATACTATATTTAGCTGTTAAACTGATTGGTGACATTAAAATAAAAGTCAAAATTGAAAATAGAAATAGTGCTATAAATTATGCTGAGATAAATTTTAAAATTTGCCATCCTCAAAGAAGTAAACAGTATTAAGCTAGGATAGGTCTAGGTTTCGCACGACATCCGCATAAACTTGACTGAGTTATCATGAGGAAATCAAACCAAATTAAGAAATAAAAAACAAGGAAAGTGTTTAAAGGGCCCCTCGTGCTCATCATCCATAAAATTCTCAGGCGCTTAACATAAAATCTACTACATTGATAACCATCGAGAAAAACTCCATAAGCTTTAATGCGTGCGTGATTATGACGATCAGAAAACCTCACAAGGTTATCATATAATTACGTGATAATTCTTCCCATTAGGGTCTCTAATTATGCCTCTAACCAGTCCTATAAAAACCCATCAGAAATCCATGCCAATACACGAAGCGTTCTTCAAGAGCGGGAAAAACGTGATCCGACAATTTATGATGCTCTGATTGGCTGAGTAACTGGCGCCAGATTTTTAGCTAATCATGCTCATCGGTGCGAATTTAGACCTCAACTGTCGTGAAATCACTGCTCTAATGAACTCGATCAGTAGGCAGCAAATGATTTTTGTCTTAACTTGTTACTGATAATTGTTGGCATAGACCAACCTAACCATCATAACACTTTCTCTGGTTCTCCTCTCTTCAAAAAGTCTATGCACGTACGATCGTCAATTTGGAGTCTTGTATCAATGTAAGAAGTTCAACTAAAGTATAGATCTTCTCCGGGCTCAACACTTACAATCACCTTGGTTTTAGTGGCAGGGGTCGAGACAAGAGTAAACGTATTCGAGGAGACAAAAAAAATTACACAATGTAGGAGGGTGGCCTTAGCTTTCCACGGTAGACCTTGGACCGGCTACGGCTGTATAAACTGACAATTCTAAATCAGCCATGATCCAAGGAATTTGGGTTAAATCGGCACAATTTGGAAACAAATAGTTCACTTGACAAATATCATAGCTTAACTATTAAAGCAACTAAAAAACATCGTTAGTGGTTGGTGTTTTGGAAGTTAGGATCAGGGGCACCCAGCGATAATTTTCGGAAAAATATCTGTTCGGAAGACGATTTGAGATCTAGAATTTTTGGAACATTTGTTGTAAAATTTCTTGCTTGCCTACCTCTCCTAGGATTTTCGAACATCTAAAAAAAGGTAAAAATGCCCATTTTCAACGGATTTTTACGGATTTTTCCAGTGGATCTTAAAAGCCCTCGGAAAAAAGACCGACTTTAAAAGCTTGTCCATTCAAAACTAGGGATTTTAAAAGCCTAGTGATCTGTAAGTCGATCCTTTAGGCTTGTCTACTTTTTAAATTAGGGGATAAAAATATGCCCAAATCCACCGTTTAAATACTAAAACAAGTTTAACAATGCTATGTGTAAGTGGTTTTGAACTATATTCTCGTTGGGGGCCCCTGTTAGGATGTTCGCCGGTAAAATACTGTCAAAACCTCTCACCTACCCGGCGTACCGTGTGGCACGGGATTTTTGCGGGTTCTAATTTTGCGATATTTCTAGCGATCCGCAAAAACAAGTTCCCGCAAATAAAAATTACCGGAAAAATTTACTCCAGAGAAAATATTCTCTAGCTTAAATTCACCACACAAAAATACAGTACCGAGAATGTCTGTTCACTTAGTCTCTTTCTTTCAGAAACAAAGCGGTATACAATGAAATACTGACGCACACCGTCATTTTGTTTGAAAATATGTATTTCTATTGCACGTACTCAATAAAAACGAAAATATTATTAATGCTTGGTACTGGGTACTTTATGAAAATCGCAAAAATTAAATCCCGGCAAGAAAAACCAATCTGTCCCAATCGCAAAAATTAGTTCCCCAAAACACAAAAAATCGCCAATCTGCAAAAATAAACTCCGGCAAAAATTTCTTTCCAGACGGTAGCCTATGTCCAATATACCGTCGTTCTGAATGATTCTAGCAGAGTTGTACCGTATTCTCATGCATTGAATGGTTTGAATTTGCTTGCGATTTTCACTGGAAGTTAAGAATGGCGGGTGAGCTGTGCAACAGAATCAGATCGCAAGCTTGTGTTGCCTTTCTTGGGAATGTAACAGTAATGGGGAATATGTAGGATTGCGCCTTTTTTAGTTTACATCGGTTTCTAGGTGATGAAAAAGTCTTATCGGTTTTAAACAGGTTGGAGGCGAGCGGAACCCATTGATAGGTACCCGAGTGATAACGCACGATGGACGCCTCTTTTCCGTGACTTGGGCTACACTCGATTGTTGTAAAATTCAATGAAAACGTCATGACTAGAAAGTGCAAAAAATTTAATGCAAAACACATGTTAGAAGATCACTAAAAGTTCCTGTTTTCTTAGGCAGTTAACATCAAAGAGTTTCGAAACCAAAGCTGATACTACTTTGCTCTTCTTCTGTTTCGATGAAAGTAAAACTTTTTTAAAAAAGAAAACAATATCAATGGAAGCTGCAGACCGTTGATAAGTAAAATTAAAACCCACAACGCTGATATGATCCGTGTGCTAAGAGCACGACACGGAATGACTAGTCAGGGTATATGCCGGGTATAAACCACTCTTTCTTTCCGTGAGTACCACCTCACTGGCTCCAGACACTATACAGGGTCATTGTTTCGGCTACAGACAAGTCGAGTTGTTTCGCTTTTTTCCTGTCATAATTTATTGTAAAACTGAAAGAAAAACACCACCATCAGTGGAGTATGAACTTATAAATAGCTACAATAACCAAAAGATAATCAGAAAGCTCTTTCAGAAAGTGAAACAAATTGGATTGGTGACGTAGAAAATTAACTCATTACGTACGTCATCACGTTTGTACCCAGTCCCGCTCAAAAGTCTCAGACTCGAGTAAAAACAAAGAATGCTTGTAGATTATACAGCTTTATTATCGTCGGGGAACAAAACCAAATATTGATATACCAGAATAACATCAGAAATGATTTTGCACGCAAGTTTCAAAGCTGAAAAACGACATTTATTTAGGGACGTTATTCCCTGGCGATGAAGAGATGTAACACCAAGACAACTAAAGAATGCCTCTACATTTAAAATACATTTTTTGTACCGAAATTCACCTTCACGTGCTCCTTCGAAATTTACAGTCATTGACGGTATTTCCTTTCCCTTTTATAAATTGAATTTACATATAATTGGACATAATAATGGCTGTTTGCTTTTATAAAACGAAAGATTACAAATCTTGCATGCCAACGAGACAGTACATCTTTGATCGTATCTGCTAGACCTTTCCGAACGTGATCTTGTTAAAAGTGATCCGTTCAAAAAATAGTTTGTTGTCCTGTCACGTTTTAGACGCTCTCTCCTCTTTGTTAGAAACACCGCAACTTTAGTAAGACGGATATTGGTGCTTACTTCTCGAAACCGCCGATTAAGAATCTTCCATTTGGCTAAATCCCAAACAAACAGACGATTACGAGCCTGTATTGACCTTACTCAGCCATGACAAAAGACATGTTGATTGACGGCCACAGTTTTACGGAGCTGATTTCATGCAAGTAGTTAGTTTTCTGTTGGCTACCAAGAGTAACAGAACTGAGCTAGCAGACTGAATTCTAGAAATTTGCCGATTGATTTGATTTCCCACAACCATATAACCGCAACTGAGTAAGAAAGGTCAGTAAATTCACTAGTTTTAAAAGTTTTTTCTCTTTTTTTAAGGGTAACAGAAAGGTATTCTCGGCTTAAAATGTAAAGAACAGTAGACATTTCTTGTATTGCTTACTATAAATTTTACGTTTAGTTCGAACATTAGAAAACTTTTTTGTACTGAAACTTGAAGGCTGGCCATTTGGCTTTTCCAGCATGATTTGCCCGCAGGAGGACATTGAATGATTTTATTCTCATTCGTTCACTCTCATTCTGTTTCATTAAATCTCAGCCAGTCGTTCATTTGGTCCAATGGATTTAGAGCTAGGAATAAGCAATCTTACAATCCGGCCCCAATGCAGTGTGGGTGGTCAGTGCTCTTTCAAAAATGAAAATGACGCCTCGGAGTCTCTTTCTCTCTGACATGCTCTGACTTCATTCATTCATTTTTTCATGTATTTATTTGTTTATTTATTTGTGTTTTTGGTCTAGTCATTATCCTGGTGGAAGTTGCCTTAGAACTGCTCTTTTGAAATCTTACAGGATTTTTTCAGTCGAATAAGTTTCTATGCATGATTTTCAACTCCAACGATCTTCCTAAGAGTAATATAAGCGATACGATATGCGGTTCATTTTTCCTTACGCTTTTAAACATATCACTAGTTTTTGGAGACGGGATATTGAGAATTAAAATGTATAGTTGAATTACCGTTTACTAATTAACGGATAATATGAAGTGTTAGTCCTGCATGAATGGACGGAACTTGCAGTCTTGTAGCTAATGCCTTACGGAAATAACTGCAGGGTGTCAGACTTGTCAGTGGATTATAGACCGAACAACTAAATATGATTACTTTTAAAACACTCGTCAGTTATTCAATGTAAGTGCAACTGTACTTGAACTGGACAATAGCTTTGAATGGGGTAAAACATGCATGAATGAAAATGCGCAAATCTGATATTGTCTTAGCCGGTATTCATGTTCATTTTTAACTCATGCAAACAAGCTACTCTGCTCACAGACTTGTTGTAACCGAAAATCCCGGTTAAGGAACCGGTGAAATCTGCTTTGCCCACCCCTTTCCGGCTAGCTTGCTGTCCGCAAAATATATAATCCTACTTCTGGAATACCGTTATCACTATTCCATTTCTCTTACTCGAAATTACTAATCACACATAAAATTGTATAACAAAAATAGGTGTAATCATTAGGATTAAAGTCCTTGTGTACGATACGATTCAGTAATTTTCATTACAACAGTCTACTTTTGTTCCCATTTTGTAGTTATTGCAACGGAAAACAATATTAACTTACAGGAATATCATACCAGTTTGTTGCGGAACGTCTGGCAACGCGTGCAAAAGCCTCCCATCTGGCGCGAAATTAAATCTGGCGCGTGTTCTTCCCAGCACCCCTCTGGTCTAGCTCACGTACACATTACCTCGGGCACAAGCTTAAAGAGTTGCACGGTTTATCAGTGATGCGGAGTAAAACGCTAGAGATTTACTGCTGACAACGTTGATTGTGATTGATACACAAGACATCACATACTAGACGATTATAGATTATTAGGCTTTTGTCACTGTATAATCACGCTGCCTATGACGCAAAAAGCGCTCCACATAAATCGAAACCTTCAAAGGTATCTCTGATTTGTATGCCAAGTGTTCTTGTTACAAGAAGAGTAAAGATTTCAAGTGTCCTTAAAAAAAATAACCTTTAAAGGCAGCGGCACCATTTATACTTTTATTCTCTGTCGCAATTTTAAAGTGTTAATTGAATTCGGATTTCTTTTTGAACACGGTCAAAGAGCCTCTTTCCTCAAACGGGCGGGAAAATCGTTGAGCTAGAACTGAGTGCCTTTCGAAACATATCCTTACGGATAGCAACCGATCTACTAACATAAAAGCTTACTCTTTTAAACAACTAGGGGTCCTTTGGTGCTTTCTTGGGGGTCTCTAAATACTCATAATATTACCGACACGAAAGCAAAACTTAAGGAATCTTGCCGAAATAGCTCATTGACACGATGGTAAAGATATCCTTAGTTAAGGTCTTTATTATCGATGATTGGCTCTTAGAAGAATCGAGCGCCACCACTTTTCAAGTGGCGGTATTTATAGATATATCAGTACATTACTTTGGGGTACACAAAAGGTCAAGTTTTTGATAAGACAGCAATGTCATAGTTAAATGCCTTCACCGAGTTTGCACGCAACTCAAAAATTCATCATTGGGTGACTTTGAGAAACCAAACTTTGGATGTTCGGTCTGAGAGCAATTCAGGTCGAAGGAGAAACCTTAAAGGGTCGTCTTTCAAACGTTTAATTGCTGTGCTGAAATTTCGATGAAGTCAGTCAAGTGCAATTGAGGCACGCAATTGCAATGTTTAGACCAATCCAGAACTTGGCAGACAACAAGAATTTGTTTTTAAAAATCGTGACCTTTATCTTGAGTGCAAGGAAGCAAGGCGGAAAGGAAAAGAAAGAATGTTCTTCTTTGAGCTTCAATCGCCGTCTACTTGCATGTTTTATTGTTGTGATAAAATCGTCAAGCTGTTTAACCCTTGTGGATCCTTACGATGATGGAATTTTTATTAATTTGTTTAACTAAGTTGCCTAGTGGATGAGTTTTTCCGTTGCGTCCAGGAATTTATAATGTTGATATTTTAATCAGTTTAGCATAACTTCTGTATAGAACGGATTACATGGCCGGTGTGAATTCCACGATATTTCTCGTTTTTCAAGGATACTAGAAGAAATATTTTTCTACATTTCTTTTGGTCTTACCCGTGTAAAATATCAAAAACTTTCTGCTTCCTTCCACCTGTAAACTTGGGAAAGTTGATCCTAAAAACATTCTTGTTTAAATATGTAACATAAGCAAATCATGTTTAATTCTGTTTCATTTTAAAATAAAACCTGCCAAAGGCCTCGAAAGGTCACAACAAATAAATGAATCCGTTAAACGATTTTAGCAATTTTAAATAATGTTACATGTCACGAAACAAAGTTTAATACGGAAAAAGGTGCGTAGCCTTGAGGGTACTTTTTTGAAGCGAAAGCCCCGTTTTAAAAGTCACATTTTCACCTGATGTCCCGAATTCAATGCTAATGAGGAAAGTCAATTTTTCTCGCTCATTTGCAGTAGATTCGGCACGTTTGAACCGAGCCTAACTTTTTAAAAATCATTTGACAATGATTTTATTTTTGTGAAAGAGTTTTCTTCTCTGTTCAAAGCACTTTTCCATTCTATTTTTACGGTAACAACTTAATTAAACAAGAATTTCTTGAGTTTATTTAAGAAGACAATAATAACAACTTTGTAAACGACTATTTACTGTCATATTAATGATACTCATTTTGTAATAGTAGAGCATTTAGAACATTTGTACTCTTACGAGCACCGCTATCTATAAAATTTCTTTTTTCCTCCATTGGACGGTTTGTTCATGAAATCTTCTAAACCGGTTTGTACTTTGTCCTATGACAATTCATCGTAGTTGAGCAATATTTAGGATTTAAAATATTTCGTAAGACTTTTGGGACCAATTATCTGCATACCGTATCCTTGGCTTGTAAACAAGCTTTCTTTTATTCGTGCAAGGCTGTATATAATAATTGCACCGAACAGGAAGGTTCCATTACCAGCGGTTTCGGCCTTTTTCAACGATGATTGAAGTGTAAATACAAACAAGAGCTTATCGTTGTTTCTCAGTACCGTGGAGTCCGTGGGTGGCCTTCTGCAAGAACCTGGCTCATAGTAAAAACGCCTTTAGGTGATAAAATAACAATCTACTGAGATAACAATGCTAAATGTGTCACCAAACGATTGCGTAATAGCGTTAGATAACTTTCGCTTTTATGCCACTCTTTTGGTGCCTTGTTTAGTTGTTAGCTGTGGTGTGGTAGTGTTCTGACTCATGCTAAGTTTTTTGTTCCGTTTATTTGCCTGGGATGATTGCTTTTGAATTCGTTTAGATAACCTGAGTGACCTTCTTTGCTGCCATTTTAATAAATGAACATGGCTTTTCCAGTCAATCTTTCGACCTATGTCACTGTCAGTCATTTGAACGGCTTTCGCGGGAAGAAGCCTTGGGTGGCAGTTTCCGACGTCTGAATCAGCGGAAAAAATTCCACGGTATATAAAAATCTTGAGATCCCGGGCTTGAGATGAAAATTGGACTGAATAAATGATGGTCAAAGCTCACAGTCTTTCAAAAGTAATATTCGGGGACAATTTAAATTAAATCCCCTTTACACCCATTGTTCTGTTCTAAATCCGCTTGTAATTGCCGAGAAAAGTATTTCATCTCAACATTAAATCCATCAAGACCTTAGAAATATAGGTCATTTCATCTAATATATATTTATGCAATCTCTCAGAGCAGAGCAATCCAACAGATCTGTTGTTTGAAAAGCTCCCAGAGTTGGTTTATCTATCAAGCGGCGTGACTTTGTTTCCGGTCGACTGCAGAGAGAAAATAGACTATTCTTTTGACAGTCATGTTTTAATCCTTGATCTCAATGGCTAAACTCAAACCTGCGGACTTGACAGCTGCACATTAAATACTTTCGTATTAAAAATTATTTTGATTGAAAAGTTTAAAAAGAATTAGCTATTAACGGTCGTAGCTTTCGTGAAAACGTTGAGAAGTGTTTAAAGAGTGATATTTGTTATGAGAGGGTTCATTACTATAAAAGCTCTGTTTTATGATAAAATGACCTCTAAAATGTTACTGGGTGTCTTCAACCTGTCGATAGGAAAAAATTCCTTAAAGTGCTTCGCTTTTGTTTATATTCGGGACCCTGGGGACTTTAAGCCGCTAAAAACACAAACAAGACCTTCATATTAGCCGAAGAGTTCGAACACCGTAGCCCAGCTGAAATATGCAGTCCAGGTTAAACCTGTTTACAATACAGCAGCAAATCAGGTTAACCCACAGAACGCGGAACAAATGTTTTCCGAGAACGTCTTTTTGGAGAGAAGGATTTCACGCTTGCAGTGCTCTGTGAGTGAAGTACTCACGTTTGGAATGACGTTGTTATGGTAACGCTAATTAGCTACGCTTTCTGATTGGCCAAAGGTTTTTGTTAAAATATTCCTGAAAATTACGCAGGAGAATTGAAATTTGCTTTGCTTGTACGCCCCGTTCCTTTTCTCAGCCGCAGAAATTCGGGCTAGTTGCCGTCGGAAGACCTCTAGAGGAAACTCCAGGCACTTGAACTGCAGCAGTGCAGTCCCCGGAATTTCAGAAGGTAAAAGTGACAGAGAGTGCTTTTGATTGTGTCCTTGAAGCTTCAGGCTTTGCACCGGCGAGTTTTCATTCATTCAGCAATGTCAGCAGAGATTTAACTGCGCACCGATTTAAATGACCCTCTCGGGAGCAACGACAAAATTCGACTTCCACCCTTCAAACTACTAAACGAGTAAACTTTTGACGATTTTTAACAGTTTGATATCGATGCAATACTAAGTTTTAAGACTTCCTTCAAAAGATAACATTAGAATCCTTTCATATCGATTGTATAACAATTTGTAGTGTTTAGAGTGTGATCTTATTTCCGTTTCTCGTAGAATGGCTGTTCAAGTCGAATCCTTGTGCAAACCGTTTGCGCTGGAAAACGACCCGGACGCGACTTACTTCTTTCATTTGGAAAAAGACGAAGTTGCTAGTGATGGCTACAGCTCTCCAGTTCCATCCCACGACATTTGGAAAAAGTTTGAGCTGCTACCGACACCTCCCCGCTCTCCATCACGATCACCGCGGCACTCGCCAATTGACATCGTTTCATTTGGTGGAGATTACGGCTCTGTAGCGGACACCTTGCAAATTGTCTCGGACATTTTGGATTTAGACGGGGACAGCTGTTCAGCTACACCTCTAGCTACTGTTGAAATTTCTCTGACCAGTCTGAAGTCCAAACTCATTCAGGACTGTATGTGGAACGGTTCAAACTACGAAAGTTCGTTACCGGATTTTAAAAGTCTTGGTGCCGGTATGAACGCCGAGGACCTGTACGAGACTCCTTGTTCGACTCCTCCGCCAGTTGAATACGTTAGCTCTGATTGTGTGGATCCTTCCACAGTTTTTCCCTATCCTATTAACGAATCACATCATAACTTGTGCGGATCTCATACATCTAGCGATTCAGGTAAGATTTGCAATTAAACTCATCCAACGGCCATACTTCTATTTCCTGTTCAATTGCAACTCAAAGCTTTAATAAATTTTCTCATAATAGTGGTTTCCTGTGTTCGCTTTTCGTTGATCGTTTATTTTTGGGGATAAACTTGTAATTTAGTTGGTTTCTTTTTATTTACTGTTTGATAGAAGAAGAAATAGACGTAGTGACCATTGAGAAACCAAAGCGAAAGCGTCTACCGCAAGTCACTGACGAACCACCGGCAAAACGCCTAAAACCAGTGGCTGTGAAACCGAAAGCGGCCATGTCTTTTCCTAGTCCTACAAAAGAGAGTAAAAAAGACAATATAAAGCGACAAAGTAGCTGCACATCAGACGAAGAAAGCGAAACTAGCAAGAGAGCAACTCACAATGTACTTGAGCGGAAACGAAGGAATGACCTCAAGACAAGCTTTCACGTTCTCCGAGAAGAAGTACCCGACCTCAAAGAAAATGAAAGAGCTCCTAAAGTAACTATCTTGCGTAAGGCAAAGGATTACGTCGATAAACTGAAAAAGGATGAAGTAAGACTTCTTGCAGAACTTGAAAAACTACGGCACAGAAACGAAGAACTTTTAGAGCGATTTTATTCACTAGGACAAAAGCGAAAATAACTTTTTTGTTTGCTCTAATCTACGTGTATTAACTCGTCTTTTACTCAAAAGAACTAAGATGAAGATTGTATATATATAAATATAAAGCCTAAAAGAATATGTATTTTGTAAAGAAAGCGTAGGATCCTAGAATATTTGGTCCAATATTTGTCTCGATTTAGTTGTGCGACTGTAGCAAGCGCTTCCGCTCTGTAAACCAAATTTCATTCAAAGTGAAGATGATAAATTTTTGCGTTGTCTCAACGCTAAGCAGTTTGTGATTGGAAAATAATGAAAAAAAAAAGTATGAGCTTTCCTTGTCGAAATTGGCGCTTTTCTTTATAGGACGATAAGTTTTACTTTGATCTGATCTTTTTTTTGACTGCCAAAGTTCGAATGAATGGATATAATTTGCATATATTGCGTCAAAGCGCGGGAAAGACTCGTATAGATTTCCATAAATTAACGTCTATGATTAGAGCTGTAGGTTTTGTTTCGAGTCCTTGGGGACTGTAGTTTTGCTTGATTTTTTCAGATAAAAGGAATGTTACATATGTTATGCGTGAAGTTTTCGAACAGAATTCTGGATACCCGTTTTTACTGTGTAAAACCATGGTTGGCCGCTTTCGGCTTTTGGTGCAAATGAATTTGGATTGAAAGTTCAGTAATTTGATCCGTTAGGTTAGTGTAAGTTTAAATCCAAGATTAGCGTATTGTTTGTATTTAGTAGAAAACCCTTTGCGATGAATGTTTCTCGCCAATTAGCCTCTGATTAATGTTTGAGGTGTGATGTTATTGCGAAAGTATGTAGAATGTTAACATTCAGGAGTCGAATTCTCGTGTTTCTCGGCCGTTCCCGGGAAAATAAGTATGTAAACACTGCTTTGCTTTGCAAGCAAACAGATATTAAAGATCACAAGTTCAGGATTGTCCAAACTTGCTTTGTAAACTGAGAGAAATTCCACAAACGCCACTTTGTTCAGAATGAATGAACTAGGTTGCTTGGTGCATTGTGCGGTAAGATTATGTTAAGCCTTCGCGAATGTCGCCGCATGACTCTTCGATCGACGCCTATCGAGTGTTTGATCGGTAAAACCAGGCCTGAAAAATGTTTAAGCATGACGCCTGAACATTTTCTATCCCTTTTCCTTAACAGCTGAGCTATTATAACATGGTTTAATAAGCCTCGTGGGGGTTATTTACTGTATATTTTTAAAACATTTTATGGTTCTTGAACCGTAACGATGCTTCACAGGCAGCTACTTATATTACTATTGAGTTAAAATATTTCATAATATTTTCTTTTCCATTTTTCAAAGAGCCAACAGGCTGTTGGATTTACTTCGTTCAAAACATGTGAAAATTGTTGAGCAATTAGTCGGCGCATGGTACATCCAGAGGTCAAATTTTTGGGTCGAGCGCGTGAACGAGAAAAAGTTATCCGCTTTCAGAAAGGCCGTGGGAAAATAACGACAGCTGATAGTGAAATTGTAGTTGCATTCCTGTGCAATTACACATTTCCTGTCCGCTAAGAATATCACTGGAAATGACGTGGGCAGTAGTTGATCTGTGGCCGTTTGCGTTTCTGCTTGAGCGGGTATTTATGATGTCTCACGCGACAAGTCAAGTGTGTACGTTTAGTGATACCGCTATTTCTGTAAACAATTTCCGATTATTTTAATTTCTTACTATGTGAACTTCAATCTGGATGCTGGCAACTATGTCTGCAAAGCTGTCTGCAGAAACCCTTGCTGATTCTAACGACAAACTGGCGATGGAAATCTACAGGCAGAGCAGAATTTCTCACACCCCGGCCCAAGCCAGGCTAAAAGTCTTGAGATTTCTCAGTTTGAAAGCAAGCTTGTAGGTGTTAATTTGTTTCCGAACGGGTAGCTGATAAAGTTATTAATGAGAAAGGAACTCTGCTTTATCAAAAGACAAATATATATAACACGGAAGGGTGTGGTGAGGGTTTTTCCGCAATAGAAAAGCTGTTTGCTTTAGGTCGGATGTTTGTTTTCACTGATGGTCTTGCGTGGATGAAAGTTTGCGAATTTCTCATCAAAGGAAATATAATAATATAACTTTTTAAAACACGGAAAAAGGCGATTTGCACTGAAAATACCACAACATTCCACATGTACAACAGGGCATTTATGAATGAAGACTAGTAACGCAAATGAATGTGTGACATTGTAACGCAATCTATTATGGCGAAATAGCGAAAGAGGGGCAGGATAAATTCATGAAATGTTTCAAGATGAAGCGAATAGTAATACCGTTACTTGTTTTTTTTTTTTTCCTTCTTCTTCTTCTTCTTCTTTTTTTTTCCAAGCAAAAATAAGAAAAATATTACGAGCATATCCTTGATATCCTTGATTGTATTGTGGCTGAAAGATTTTGTCAGTTCCGGTCAGTGGATCAAACATAGATCGCTAGGTGTAAACCTGCGATCTAAAACTAAAGTTAATAAAGGGATGATCGAAGGCAAATGAAGAGGAGGCGATGAAACTAGCTTCAAAAGAACACGAACTCACCACAAAGCTCATCTAGGTAGTTTTACTGATTGCAAAATAAGATGCAAAACAAAAGGGTAGAAAATTAGGTACGTGCTCGTTGCTGAACGGAGACATTTTGGGCGCTTAATTCACTTCCGGTGCTGTGGCTGAGTGGTTTTAAAATTGGTCAGTGATCAAACAACGAAAGACGGAGATCAAACTGTTTTCAAAAGGGAGTGAGCTAACCACCAAGCGAGTCTGGTTTGTTTTATTGATTGCAAACAACAGAAAGCGACGTGCTCTTCTTGTGATTGTGGGGTTTTTGGATTTGAATTCACTTCCGGTGCAAAGGTCGAGTGCGGCCGAACGAACAAGGAACAACAATGGGATGGAACTAATTTCAAAAGGAAGCGACTGACCACAAAGCGCGTCTGGTTAGTTATATTGATTACCATCTTGACTGTGGTCAGCCAGCGCCACACGACGCCTCTTGTTTTCAATCGCAGAGCATGGCAAAGTCAGCGAATGCTTTCTTGCCGAAATAAACCTCAATGCGAATGCACTTGAAATGGCTACAAACTGTCTGTCTATATTGATGGGAGGTTTTTTATGAGAATACATTCATACAACGCTATTTGTTCACCCGCTGTTTCAAATACTTGTATACAATATAAGTCCGTTGCAAGTACTATTACTCTCCACGCTTTCTATCCTGTTGTTGTTAATCCAGTTCTCTAAGGGATCTAACAACGGGTGCATTCAAATTTATTCAGTAGATGTTTATTGCCAAATGGAGAGCATCTATTGAAACTACCAACGGAATAACAACAGCTGTAACAAGGGCATCCAACGACAATTTTTGGAAAATATCTGTTCGGAAGACGATTTGAGATCTAGAAGTTTCGGAACATTTGTTGTTAAATTTCTTGCTTGCCCGCCTCTGCTAGGATTTTCGAACCCCCCCCCCCCCCCCCCCCATTTTCGGGAGCCTTTTTTCTGGCTGAAATTTTCGAAAAGGTAAGTTTTGATCCCTATAATTTTCGGATCACTAGACTTTCAGCTAGGAAATCCGAACAGAAGAAAAAATTTTAGGGGATAAAAATATGCATATGTCTACTGTTTAAATACTAAAATACGTTCAACATTGCTATGTTTAAGTGGTTTTGAACTATATTCTCGTTGGGTGCCCCTGGAATAACACCCACGAGCAGAGGGGGCCGGTACTATTTCGCGTTATGTCCTTGCGTGGGCGATATGTACTTTCGCACGCCAGAACACACGGGGGTTAAGAGTGTTCGAACCTATCGCCTTTTACCTTTTTTATTTGTAAATGGTGACTCCTGGATGCAGTTTTTAAACAGTTTCGTCCAGGTTATGGTTTTGTGTTAAAAGGGTAGCCTCATTTGCTGAAGACTGTATGATACCTACACCCTGGCTCCAGAGCTCCGTTCTCGAAATACCTAGGATGAAATAAACCGTTCCTAAGGTTAAAAAAAGCTCCCGAGGCTTCGCCGCGAACTATCAGGAATTAGATAAGGAAAAATAACCTCTGGAACCCAGGGTATGATATCTACTATGTCGTTTAGAGTAAGTGTCCTGGACATATCCGCAGCACCCACCCCGTCTCGCGCACGCACTTATACGCACGCACCTAGCCTACATTGCCTGCTTTTCTTCCAAAGGAGAGGAGGAAACAGTACGAACATAAACAAGCCGGTTTCGCCCGCCCAAAATACGGTACGCCTAGCACCCACGCAGCAGACCCGGTTTGGTGGAAAGGCAGTTGATTTTTTCTTTTTTGTATACTCTGAGCATGTCTGAGATCCGTTGCAAAAGAGGCAAAGTTCAAGATGCCATCTCACTAGGGTACCAAATAAAATGTCACATCTCCTGTCTACGCCAATCGATTATAGAAACTAAGAAAGAGCCGACTCAAAAACTGTTGTACTGTCTTGGAGACCCCGGGCTTTGAGAAAAGTATATCAGTAGCGGAACTTGTAATAAAAATAAACATGAAATTAGACCGGCGTAAAGATAGGAATGAATATCCATGAAAGATCCATTACTGCAAGCTCCTTCAAAGCAATATTGTCATTTGATGGAAATCATAATTCAAAACAAATTAAAGAACTTATTAGCACTCGTTTATTACAAGATTTAATAAAAATTATGTTGATCGATGGTTTGCCACAGAGGGGTTTGCCACGTTTCCACCCATTTAAACGGCAGGGAATCGAATCAGCAGGGGAGCACCCTGGAATCCGTGGGAACGAGACGCAATATTAATTTAATTCACTTCAACTTTTAAAATTGAGTCGGTCTACAAGGGTGATGGAGGCTCTCCTGGGAAATTGCAAGGTCTGGCATTTCGAGTCATTAAGAATCGAAAAGAGCATCAACTGGGATCACTCCTTCTCAATCCCAATCACTTTTCTTGAACAGTTTCGACTTTTAGATATTTCGATCAACAACAATTTTCCGTCTGTTCTCTTTAAATTGAATACCCTACTTTTAAGGGCTCGGCAACATCATTTCTTAGCCTAGACTTTAGGTAACCCTTTTTAAACAATTTAAAATCTCAAACTCTCCGAACGAAGAGTATCTCTAACCATTTGAAGAGCGAGTCCACACCGCCACGCCCAAATATACACACTGTTACTGTCTCATCAGAGAGTACTCTCTTCCAGTAGAAAGCAAGGTGTAAAGGGGGGGCATTTTTCATCTTGTTCTATGTGGATATACCAACCAAGCCAATCCCCCCGGACATCTGTAGGAAGGGGAGGTATCAGTCAGGTTGTGAGTTCCCATCGTGGGGCGTTAACAGCTTTCCCAAGAATATGACAACCAAAAAATACGCCAAGAGTCGCCCGATGTAATAGAATCCAAGACAGTCTTACATTCTGGATTCCACGTTGTGGATTTTGGATTCCGGATTCTAATCATTAATGGGAGCTGTATTCCAGATTCCAAAGCCTAGGATTCCGGATTCCACAAGCAAAACTTTAACGAATTCCTGAATTCGCATTTCCTGACATGGGGGGGGGGGGGGGGGGGGGAAGGGGGGGATAAAAACGTTAGAAATTGGCTGGTTTCTCAAGGGAAAAACACAAACGCGGGGCGCTTCCCCCGGGGGGAACGGGGTAACAAGGGGTATTCATTGAAAGAAAAGGGGGGGTGAGATAAGA